GGTTTTTTTTTTTTTTTTTGCTTGGGGCGGCCAAAAAGCCAGAGCCGGCCCTGGTTAAGGAGGTGATACCAAAAGAGATTGCCTCACTCCCTATGCAACGTCACACTAGGTGACATCAGCTAAAAGTGCTGTTACTTCTAGATGTGGCTTACAGTAAACTAGGACACATTTTTTTTGTAGGTGGGTCTTAGGAGACTTGGCTGCTGTGAGGGAATAAATATACTTGAACAAACTATCCAAGTACTAAATTAAAAAAAAAAAATCTAATGAAATCTCATTGTCTGGCACTTCTTGGAAGCCTCTTTAATCACTGAGGGAATCTCCCAGGTTTGCACTCGAGTACTGGAATCAGAGTATTCTTCGTGAAATCTCTTTTGGGTAACTTGCTTCCTTTGGCAGTTTGCCGAAGGTTGCTTGACCAGGTATGGACTCACTGACTTTCTCTACAGAATAACACTCTCTTTTCCCCCTCTTCCTCCATTATTCGTGAGCTGGGGCTAATAAGGTGTTAGGGATGAGAAGATTCCTTTATTTCTGGAACTGCATATTAAGTACTAGACTGGGAATTGTGAAGGATACCGAATATGAATCAGAATAATAGCTGCACCAAAGTCTTCATGTATAAAAATTTCCTGTGTTGTACAGAGATCTAGTATATTCCCATTGATATTGATAGAAATTTCTGTCTTTCTTGGATCAAAAGCAACATTCTATGACACTATAATTAACCTATTATTTATAACATTTTTTCCATGCATACAGTGTGGTGGAATCTGTGGGGCTGTGGAACATGCCCACCTCTGGGACAGAATGTCTCTCTGGCTTAGCGGAGGGTGACCATAATGGAAGTGAAAGAGTAAATAGATTATGTCTGATGACAGGGAAGATGGTAGCAGGAGAGAGACTGACCCTATGGCAGCAGCCATGTTAAGCATCCAAAATCCAGTCTTTTTTCAAGCCAGTATTGTACAATAGATCATTCTAGCAAAACTGCTTGAATCACATATGATTTGGTTGCGGAGCAGCTATTCATCATATCCCTAGATATTACCTATGTAGACACTTCTAAGTTACATTTGTTTTTTTGTGCAGTGTGCATGGGTACTGTTGTGAGGACTGCAGTATATACCACTGAAAACATAAAAACATTGATGCACAAAGGGAATAAACCCTCATAAGTTAATAACTATTTCTAACTATGGAAGGATAATTTATGCCTATTTAGTAGGTGGTTACTCATTCCCTCTGCCAGTTTGCTACTGAATGCAGGTTGTGACAATTATAAGTTGCTGATATCACTAACTTTCAGAGATCTTGGTTTTGCTTCAGCAATGTTATGTCTCAGAACATTATCAATATCATATTATACCTAGAAATGCCTGTTCAAAGCTGCAGCTGTAAAGCAGAGTTACGCAATAGTCAGTTGAGCAAAAGTTACCTCTTCACTATGACCTTTTTTCCAGTATAGCACCCTGTAAACCCAAGAGCCATAATATTTATTTAAAGGCCACACATGCGACTCTTGTACAGCGACAGGGCCTGTGAAATCTATATGCAAAGATCCGGATTCAGATTTCACTTTTACATCAGGTGGTCCAATGATTGCTAAATGAGAAGAGAGGAGAAAAAAAAAATCACAAAAATACAATCTCTCAGAGTGATATTTTTATATGGCATACAGCACTACACCTAATCACTATCATCATCTTATTTACTTGAAGAAAACTCTTTCACCTCAAAGAATCAAGGATAAATAAACTCTTCATTCACAGATGTGTCATAAAGTGAATTTGTCTTTACACTTAAATAGACTATCTTCCATTGCTGTATACAGTATAATAGTAGCTGTGTTGGTCCCAACCACAGAAGTTGGTCCAAGAAAAGATATTACCTCACCCACTTGTCTCATTTAAATAGAAGACACTTTTGCTGTCTGTGCCTCCTCCACTCACTATAGGTCTACACTACCTGCCTGAATCGGCGGGTAGAAATCGACCTCTTGGGGATCGAATTATTGCGTCTCGTTGGGACGCGACAATCGATCCCCGAATCGACGCTCTTACTCCACCAGCGGAGGTGGGAGTAAGCGCCGTCGACGGGAAGCCGCGGAGGTCGATTTTGCCACCGTCCTTACAGCGGGGTAAGTCGGCTGTGATACGTTGAATTCAGCTACGCTATTCGCGTAGCTGAATTTGCGTATCTTAAATTGACCCCCCCCCCGTAGTGAAGACGTAGCCTAAGCCACCCTCAGTTCTGTCCCGCCAGCTGCTTTCACTAGTGGAAGAAGTAAGAACACTAAGGAACCCACTCCCAGGGCATCTTATTGCCTGCATTTCCCCACTGAGCTGCAGCTCAGAGATGTCGGACTTCGCTGAGGAAACTTTCTGGTGAAGTGTTTTTATTGCTCTCTGCAGTGCAACTCATTTGAGGAACTGCAACTCTTGAATTGCTTCTGAATTTATTATTAATTCTTTTTTACATCAAAGGATACATTTCTATATTTTGAAACTGCCTCCTTTTACTGTATTTTTGTTCCACTAAATAACTTAGTTTAGTGAGTACTTTAGTCCTAAGTTAGGTTGTGTCTACAATGAACTCTTTCATAAACTCTCCCAGTGTTCCACCTGTACCACTGGATGGGTGCTTCTCATTTAAACCTGTACTCAGGTTGTAAAAATGCCGATGGTCAGTTTACACTAGCACTCCAACCATTGCTACCAGTAGTGAAGTTACACCAGGGCTAGAGCATCAGTGGGAGATTTTAAGAAATAGCTCAATGTAGACAAGGCTTTGCATTTTTCCAGAAATTCAAACTAGTTATAAAAACAGTTCTGGCTGTGGCAGCCTTGGTTACACGGTAGTTCCAACTGGTTTTAAACTGGCTTAAAGTTATGGAAAAATTTCCCCATTGGTGACTCTGATGTTCCTAGGCTGCACCTACACATTAGGTAATTTCCCAACAACGACAACTCTGTTGGTGGTAATGCTGGTGGAAACTGTAAGATACACATATGATACACCTGGCTAGGTGCTCTGAGCAGGATTAAACAATACTGTGGTAAAAATGACACAGTGATTAAGAGTCCTATCTACATTGCAGATTTCACCAGTGCTGCCAGGTCTTCTCCCTCAATTAGTTTTATACATAGACTCTTTAGTCCAATTATAAATTGGCTTTTGAAGGTCAGTGTTGCTTAGAAGTTAACTCTTTCCTTGAAATGTGAATCAAAATCCTGTTTTCAATGCAATTCTTTATAAAACTCTGACTTGTTAATGATTTTGTTTTCTGATATGGGGGTTCATGCAAAGTACTACTGTTTCTTTTGGCTTTACCCTAACTCTCATAGTATTTGTTAAATACTTCAATTTTCTATGTTGTAGTACAGCTTTTCTGTTCGGCCAGTTTTAATTCTCTCCAAGTTAAGCTTTTGAAAAAAGACAAATCCCAAAAACGTGCTCTCATTTTCCAAATTTCTTTTTCTTCCTTAAGTATTATATTTGCACTAATGTATGCAACTAACCTTCCCCTTGTAACCATTTTCAGATTTCCTATAGAGTAACTGGTAATATGTCTTTTGTCCTGCTGTGAGGGATTTTTCTCAATGAATACTTTAAACTCATCAGTGCTTTGAAGTCTTTTTAAAAAAGTCCTTCAAGAATTAGTGCATGGATATGGGAGTGAGTTTACAGAGAGATGTCCAAGTGAAGAGATCAAAGAGCAATGGCCACAACATCTTATGAATTTGGAATTTAATATGGAAAAATTATGTCATAAACACTGTCCTGATATAAACAACAATTGCATTGAGAAAATGAGACTGGAAACTTAAACTCTGAAAACCAAGGACTAGAAAGGTTAAGCTTTAAGTAAATCCAAGCCAAGCCAGAGAAGAAGAGAAAACTAAGAATTGTTTCTAGAGGTAGAGAAACCAAAGAGGCCTCTTGCATAGCTTCCCATTGACATCTGTGCAGTGGAGAAATGGAAGTTTTGGGTAGTAGACAAAATTGTGCTTGCTAATGGATGAAATAATTTTGAGAATGCATTGACAAAGATCCTGCTCCCCACAAACTCAGACAACAGCATGCTGCCCAAGATCTCTGCTATAAGAAAGTGTTGCAGTGCCAAGTTCCACCACCTTTCACACAAGACAGCAAACATCAAACATGGTACCTTCAAAATGATTTTTTTTTTATTGAAGAGTAAACGTTTCCCCCGTTGAACATATCCAAATATAGGATGGGGGGGGAGGGGAGGAGGAGGGTTAATTCCCCCCCCCCGCTTAGTGACAAGAAAGTAGCTGAACTGATTTAAATATGTAGGAAGTTAGAATCCTTGGATGTAAAGCACTCTTGCTCTAAAAATTTGTATGCAATATTTTTTTAGGGGGAAAAATATATATGTGTTCAAATCCCTCAAAAGATGTCTCAGAATGGAAGAAGAGAGTCAGTGATGACCTACATATACTTTTGATCTTACTACATTTTCTGTACTCCTGGGGGAATTCTGCATCACTTCATGTGCGCATAATTAATGAGCCATGCATATTTTTAATTTTTTTTGCACAGAAAAAGGCTTCTGCCAGAAAGTTGCTGCACTTCTGCCTTTTGCCTACCAGAGGGCGCTGTGGCAACAGAACAAAGCAGCAGCTTCCAGCCAGTTAGGGAAGAGAAAGAGCCTGCCTTCTTCACAGCGCCTGTCAGGCCAGGACAGGAGATATGGGGAGACAGACAGCATGGGGCTGTTGGGGGGGTCAGATAGGGACTGGTAAGAGCTAGTGGGGGAAGACAGACTGGGGCAGGGACTGAATGGGAGTGGAGGCGCAGGGCCACAGGGGGAAGGGAGGTGCAGGGCCACATAGGGACAGGAGGGTGGCTGGGTGGGGGAACAGAGACACATGGTGACAGGGAGAGGGGTGCAGAGCCACATGAGGATGGGAGGAGTGGGTGTCCAAGTGGGGGTGGAGGGACACATGGACAGGGGGTACGACGACACATGGGGGTGCAGGGAAACATGGGGACAGGGGCAGATGTGCCTGACTGAATGGGAGAGGCTAGGGATCAGCCAGGGTCTGCACGGGGGAAGCTCCCTAACAATCCCTCCCTGCCCCCCCCAAAAATCTGTTCCATACTTTTCCCACCCATACCCAACAGCCCTCCAAGTTCACACCCAGGCTCCTTCCCAGCAATTACTTCCCTCTCCCTCAGCTCCTCCATTACCTCTGACTCCCCCAAGCCTTTGCACTGCTACTGAGGAGTGCAGGAAATACATTTCTGTATTGTAGTTTAAATGAATTATTACTCAGAGTTCTGTATTAATATGCCTAGTAAGGAATCTATTTGCCAAAAAACATTTCCTGAATCTTTTTTGTTGTCTATATTGTTACAGATATACTTGCTGACAGGTATTTTGAAATAAATGACCAAAAATAATTGAAACTTCTGTTATTCTGACAAATAAAATATGCAGAATTTTGCAGAATTTGAAAATATTGTAAGCAGAATGTTTAATTTTTTTGGAGCAGATTTCCCCCAGGAGTATTTCTGAGAGCAACTCTTCTCTTCCCCAAAAGTATACCAAATAGGACTTGGATATTTCATACTTTACTTAAAATAATTTGTACATTTAAAACAATCTGTATTTTAATATCGCTACTTATTCAGATTAATTTGCAATTTTATTTAATTAACAGTTCGCTATTAGTGGTCAAAAGTTTCCCGTGTAGGGGAAGCCTTACTGTCATCGATTGGCTTAAAGATGATGTTCACCCAGTCTGACTTTTCGTTTTCTGATTCAGCCCTGACTCGCAAGGTGTAGTTTCCATATACAGGCAGAGAAGAGAAGTCACACTCCGTGATGACAATGTTCACACACACATTCCTGTTAAAAATACTACTGTATGGGAGGCAAAAGAATTGCATCTGAGTCATATATTAGGAACAGAAAATATCCTTCATTTCAGTGAAGCAGGTAAGTGGCAGTACTCACTCACCATGTATTAACATTGCTAATTACCACTCAGGCAAAACTCATTAGCTGAAAAAAATAAGAACATTCATATATCTATCACACATACTTATATATAGGTATTAGACACTCGTAACATCTATTAGGATAGTCTATTATTACTTTATGATAAAGGTAGAGATTAAGGTGACCATTCAGCAAAAAGCACACTGTTGCTCTGACTTGGCACCTGCAAATCCTGATTGAGCAGACAGAAAATGCCTGATACCACAGCCAAGTTCAACTATGCCTGAATTTTCAGTTTAATTCTTACCTTTCTACAAATGGTTCTTTGGATAGGCCTTACACTATCCTAATCTTTCATTATATGCCCAGGTCTTGAATGGGTACTAGTTAATATGTGGAATGTTACGTCTGTTTTGTACTTAGAGCCCACCCTGGAATAGGAGCTTGCTAGCCTGGCAGTTTGGGAGTCCCACACATCCCTCGTACCTTCCCCCCACTGACTGACATAGCAGACACGCTTACTTTATGTTCTACATCATTTTAGAGGCCCTTTCTCAGCAGGCACCTGACTGTCTGCCATTCCTCCTCCCTAAGGTCCTACTCTTTCTTTGCCAAGAAATGAACCTTTTGACTCATCGGAGTAATTTGATGTCTGGGCTTTGTTCAGCTACTGAAGCAGCCAGGGATCTAATACTAGACTGGGGGAGTTCTCAAGCCTTCCTTAGAGTGCTCCCCACAAAATCCTTCCCCTCCCAGACAAAGACCAATCTGGAGGGAAAAAATGGGGAAAATTCCTGACAAAATGAGGCCTCAGAGTAAGCTGCTGAGAACCTCTGCTTTTGAGCACAGAGGCAGCAGACAGGGGAACATTCTTGCTGCACTTCACTAGCCATGTCTGTAGAGGGCCCTGACAAACAGATTGCTCTGGGGAAAAAGTGGAACCTGTTGCCTGCATTAGAAAATGGAAAACGTGGGAGAATGCATTAGTACTAAGCCTGTTGAAGTAGTAGTTTCCTATGACAGAGAATGTAAATGTACATGTAGCTGACTGATTACAGTTAAGATTACACTGTGTTTCCCACTCCAGATGAATATGTGACAAACTAATGAATATTAAAAACTATAAAGCATGCCCTTTAATAGGTATCTAGCTCAGGAGAAGGTCTTATGTGCATAAGCCAAAAGAAAGGGACAGTCCACATCTGGAAAAAAAAAGTCACAAGAACACAATACTATAAACTAAGTTTATCTAAGACATCTTGCAAAGGTAAATACACAACGCTCCTAGACCTACCTTATATACTCGACTGTATAAGTAATATTTTCTTTGTGAAAAGTAGGTGGATCCCACTGTAGAGTGCTTTTCAAGTTAACTGAATTAATTGTTACATTTTTTGGTTCCGGCACTATTCCAAATGCTGAAAAACAAACAAACCACTGTAATATATGTTCTTCCAATGACTAAAGTAACAAATAACCCTTTTTGAAAACTGGAAAAGAGACCAGAAGTATTGCTGGAATATACACATACTGTACTGCTAACTAGTAGTTTCCGTGACTACTGAGTTATGATCATCATTTTGATTCTTTACAGATGAGTCAGAAATTATACCAGCCAAGCCAGCTACAAAGCACGGCTCTTACTGTTGTGCTTCAGAGCCGATTTCATTTTAAGCCACAAGAGAGAAACCAAATAATGTGTATGCTCTTTAAGAAGAAAAAAAAAAACTAATTAGCAATTTTATGTGCATATTTTAGATGTAAAGATGCATGAAACTAATGTGTGAGAAGTACACTCCATGCACCTGCACAAGACAGAAACTAAATCTTAACACAGGAACTTCATTTCAAGTACAGAGTTTACTTCCTCAAATGTGATCTCTTCCTGTACCCATAAAATTTCAGTCAGAATGTCCATTAAATTGAAGAGAATGTCACTTATGTACATAATTTGGATCTAGAATTTTTGATTTAAAGAAATTCTGGCATTTCACTTTCCTCCTTGTCAAATAAGCTTGTAAGGTGAAATCCTGGCCTAATTAAAGTCAATGGGAAGAAGTCCCATTGACATCAGTGACAACAGGATTTCATCTATGGCCATCAAGATGTTTCCTGATCTGCTACATACACCTCTACCCCGATATAACGTGACCCGATATAACACGAATTCAGATATAATGCGGTAAAGCAGTGCTCCGGGGGGGGCGGGGCTGCGCACTCCGGTGGATCAAAGCAAGTTTGATATAACGCAGTTTCACCTATAACACGGTAAGATTTTTTGGCTCCTGAGGACAGCGTTCTATCGAGGTAGAGGTGTACTGAGGATATGTTTATGCTATAGAGACTATACTGGCATTGCTATACTGGCGTAGACCCATATTGCAGATGCAGTCCACACCAACAGAAGGAGTTTTTCTGTCAGTGTAGGAACACCACCTCCTTGGAAGACGTTAGCTGTGTTCATGGAAGCAGTCTTCCATTGACGTAATTGTGTCTATACTGGGGGGGTTGTTAGCTATGTTGGTCAGGGGTGTGGATTTTCACACCCCTGAACAATGTAGCTATGCCAACATAACTTTTCAATGTAGACCAAGATGAAGCTACTGTAAATGGACCAAGTTCAAAACTCTGTCTCTCTGTCCCAGGTTAGCAGTGCTGTAGAGGTGTTATGCTCAACCACTGGAAATAGGAAGGTATGGACTCCCATACACTCTACAACATCCTCTGTGGCCAACTCAAGAGTGCCACTGACTGGCTCCAAATGAAGTCACATCTAGTCCCCTATGGGGCCATCTACACTAGGGCCTTGTTGAACTAGGACATTGGTTACTAATTTTTCAGCAATGGTGCAGCTGCACCAGTGCTTCCAAAGGGCATAAGGTCCAGTATAGACAATTGTTTTTCACCCTATTTCATTTTCAGAGCTCTACACCATTGCTGAAAAACTGGAAAGGAATGTCCAATTTCCTAGTGCAGAAAATAATCGGTTGCAGACAACATGAGGTAACATTGTTTTGGCAAAGCAGCCTTCTGGCTGGCTCAAGCAGCTTCCATTGTATCTCATTTTCTCCAAAGGGGCTACACAACTCTCCACACTCACAATTTCAACACAACATAAATAAAAGTGACCTGGAAAGGGAAGTGGATTTGTGCCCCTTTTCATTTCTTTATGATGTATAAAGAGGTGTGTAAGATTTTTGTTTAAAAAAAGTTCTGCTTGGTGCTTTCCCCACCTCTCCTAAAAATCAGATCTGGTCTGTCTGACTGGTGAACTAATTAAAAAACAACATCAAAGGAGGCAAGAGCCTCAGCTCTCTGCAATTCAGAAGAGCAGGGATTTTAGATTATTTGAAGTTTTAATTTTTATCATCTATTTGACTCCACTACCCAATGAGCCCTTCGTTAAAATTTCATCACCCCACACCTTCAACTAAGATGGGAGAGCTCATAATAAGCATCTTCACAAATGTCCTCCAGCAAAACCATAAAAGGAAAAACTTGACAAGCTTGTTATTTGCAATGTAAAAACAAATAGGAAACAAATTGATAACACTTAATTTTATTTGTAAAATAAAATGGTCCTCCCAAACTATCCCCAAAGTTTCAGGCTCATATCCATTTAAAAAGAAATTCCTTTTCAGATCACTTTTAAGACTTTATACGATAGTCTTTTGCTATAAGCGCAGGGCCAGAATTTCAGCTGTTGTAAATTGCGGTAGATCTATCTGGCCATAGTATAAATATTGTTTTAAAATATTTATTGTTCAAATTTCATTTAAAATATAAATATCAGCTTCAGTACTTTCTCCTCACTGCTATTTTCTTCAGCTGCTGCATGGAATCTTGGGTGTTTCAGTTATACAGACATATTCCCCCTACACAAAACATATGGTCTTTGGCTGATTGATGCACTTAGATCTGTAGGGGTGGGCAAACAACAGCCTGTGAGCCACGTCCAGCCCATCAGACCTTTAAATATGGCCCTTGAGCTCCTGCTAGGGAGCGGGGTCAGGAGTTTGTCTCACTCTGTGCGTGCTGTGGCTTCGCGCAACTCCCAGAAGCAGCGGCATGTCCCCACTCCGGCTCCTATGCGTAGGGGCAGCCAGGGGGCTCCGCACGCTGCCCCCACCCCAAGCGCTGGCACTGCAGCCAATGGGAGCTTCAGGAGTGGTGCCTGCGGATGGGGCAGCACACAGAGCCGCCTGGCCACACCTCCACATAGGAGCTAGAGGGGAGACGTGCCGCTGCTTCCGGGAGCTGCTTAAGGTAAGCCCTGCCCGGAGCCCTCTCCTGCACTCCTAACCTCTCAACCCCAGCCTGGAGTCCCCTCCCCCGCACCCTTAACCCCTCACTTCTGGCCTCACCCTGGAACCTACACCCCCAGCCCAGAGCCCCTCCCACACCCCAACCCACTGTCCCTTCCCATATTCTAAACCCCTCTGCTCCAAACCCAGCCCCCTCCTACACTGCAAACCCCTCATCCCTGGCACCACCCCAGAGCCCACACCTCCAGCCGGAGCCCTCACCCCCTCCCACAACCCAACCCCCAATTTTGTGAGCATTCATGGCCCGCCATACAATTTCCATACCCAGATGTGTCCCTCAGGCCAGAAAGTTTGCCCACCCCTGATCTGGAGGGTCAAATTCTCCTTGTTTATAGTCTTTTGATTTCAATAGAATTATACCCATGCAACCGAGAGGAAAATCTGACTCTTAATATTTAATTAATACCAAAGATCAGCCAAAGACCATTCTCTTTCCCTAATCATACATCTTGTAAACAAGATATTAGAGTGCAGCAATATTTAAACTCTAGAGTAAATGTACACTAGACTGATATTTTGAAAATGAAAAGGTTCTGAATTGGCCAAGTGGCCCCAGCACAAGGGTTTTAAAGGTAGGGATTTCTCAGATCTGGGCCTTTGGGAAGTCCTGAGAATCAAGCAATTCAGCCGAGTACTGGGGAGGTCAGGAATGAAAACAACTTTACACTTATTTGCAAGAATCAGTCAACTCCTGATCCTGCTGCAATAGCGGATGCATACAACATAGGCATGATTTTTTTTTTCTGAGCATTGCCTGCTTTTTTCAATTGGTAGCACTGAGCAGAGGGCCGGGGGTATGGCAGGAGTAAGCAAGGCATGATAAGTAATTCTTCCACTCTATTGAGTGCTGATAAGGCCTCAGCTGGAGTAATGGGTCCAGTTCTGGGCGCCACATTTCAGGAAAGTGGACAAATTGGAGAAAGTCCGGAGGAGAGCAACACAAATGATTAAAAGTCTAGAAAACATGACCTATGAAGAAACATTGAAAAAAACTGGGTTTAGTCTGGAAAAGAAAAGACTGAGGGGGGACCTGATAACAGTTTTCAAATACATAAAAGGTTGTTACAAAGAAGAGGCAGGCCAGGGGCCCATGGCCCCATCACTTTTAAAAGTGGGAGGCTATGCCCTCCCCCTTTTTACTGGCCATAAGGACGAACATTGTGGGGGGAGGGAAAGAGAGGTGGATAGGAGCGAGTAGAGGGCAGGTTCTTAGGAGGATGAGGTGGTGTGGGGGCGGAGCCATGGTTCGGGCACTGGTGGCCCCCTACTTTTAGGGAGCTTCCGCCACTCCTGGGAGGAGAGTGAAAAACTGTTCTTCTTACCCTCTGAGGACAGGAGAAGCAGCAATGGGCTTAAATTGCAGCAAGGGCAGTTTAAGTTGGACATTAGGAAAAACTTCCTGTCAGGGTGGTTAAGCCCTGGAATAAATTGCCTAGGGAGGTTGTGGAATCATTAGAGCAGGTTAGACAAACACCTGTCAGGAATGGTCTAGTTCAGGGGTTGGCAACCTATGGCATGCGTGCCAAAGACGGCACGCGAGCCGATTTTTAATGGCACGCCGCAGCCGGTCTGGGGTCCTGGCCGCCGGCCCCTTGCTAGCTGGGGTCCCGGCCGCCGGCCCCGCTCAGCCCGCTGCCAGCTCCTTGCCAGCCGGGGTCCTGGCCACAGGCCCCGTTCAGCCCGCTGCCGGCATAGGTGAACGGAACCCCGGGCCGACAGGGGGCTGAGCAGGCCGGCGGCGTAAGATCAGCATTTTAATTTAATTTTAAATGAAGCTTCTTAAACATTTTGAAAACCTTGTTTACTTTACATACAACAGTAGTTTAGTTATATAATATAGACTTATAGAGAGAGACCTTCTAAAAAATGTTAAAATGTATTACCGGCACGCGAAACGTTAAATTAGAGTGACTAAATGAAGACTCAGTACACCACTTCTGAAAGGCTGCCGACCCCTGGTCTAGTTATTACTTAGCCTCAAGTGCAGGGGACTGGACTAGATGACCTGTTGAGGTCCCTTCCAGTCCTACACTTCTATGGTTCTATAATCAGTCCCCTTGGAGAACTACCCAACCAACCTCTCTCAACTCCCATAGTGCCAGGAGGCAAATTCTGGACATCTGTCTCTGCCCTGTGCCATGGATGTGTTTCAGCACAATGTCCTTTGTTGGGAGCTATGGGGCCGGGAAGAAAACATGCCTGCCTCAAGTGGTTTGAGCCTGCAACCAGGCCAGAAAGCCAGGCTTGTCCTAGGGCTGTGTAGAGGGGAAAGCCTGAGATGGTGTTGGCCAAACATCCAAATTTAAGGGCAAAATCCTAGCCCCCTTGAAGTAGATGGGAGTTTTGTCATCCAGGTCGGGGGGAAAGAGGGGAGGGGGCAGGATTGCACCAAGTTCTCCCCGGGATCTAAAACGACCTAATTATCTTCCCTCAACCCCCTCCTCCCAACTCTCTTTGTGGGGCTGCCTACAGACCAGGTGACAAGGGTTTGGCTGCTGGCACACAGCCCCGCCTGGGAGCCAAGCCCCTCTCAGCCTGCCCTGGGGCTCTGCAGCCCGCCTTCCCCTTGGCCCCACGCTGGGGCTAGAAGCTCTCTGGGGGAGGGCCCGGCTCTGCTCTACGTGCGCCCAGGGCTCCTGCGCCACGGCTAGTTCCCCGGCCGAGCCACTGGGGGGAGGCGCCGTCGCCTGCGCACTGGGGGCTCCCTTGGGAAAGGGGCGCTGGCGGGGAAAGTGTCGGAGCCCCGCTGTGGTACACGTGGCCTCGGACCCGCGGGGAAGTAGCCAAGCGACCCCCTACCGCCACCCGGCAGGAGCGGCCCCGGCACTCACCCGAGTGACTCGACCAGAGAAGGCAGCCGGCCACCAGCGCCAGGAAACGCCGGGCCATGGCCAGGGGCTCGGGGTCCCTCTGGCTGCCCGCGGGGTGCGGCAGGGGCGCCCGTCTGGCTGCTGCCCAGCGGAGACCCCCAGCTCGCCGCCCCGCAGTACTTTCCCAGCCCGGCACCTGGTCCCGCCTCCGCACTGGGCGAGCCCTCTGCGACAGTCCCCAGCCCGGCCCTCCTCTCCTTCCTGCAGGTGAACTCCGTCCCCTGTGCGGCGCGCCAGGAGGAAACGCGCCGCCCGCTGCGCTCGCAAACGCCCCCGCAGTAGCCGGGCCCTGCGCCTTGCAGAGCAGCAGCAGCGGGGCTCAATGGGGCAAGGCGAAAGCTCCGGGGGGCGGAGGCGTTTGGTGGCAGCTCCCTGTATCCCGCTGGGGGCCGGAGGACAAACCAATGCCTCGCCATCTCCGGGCGGACTGAGCGCCCAGGCCCTGGGAGGGAGAAACCCAGCGCCGAGATCATTCGAGTCCCCCGACTGGGCGTAAATCGATCTTTTTGGCTGTCCCCTCGTTTTCCACCCACGAGCTCGTTCTCCTGGTGTGGATTTCTTGTCCTACCTTCTTGTATTGTAGCAAAGGTGGTGGGCGGGAGTTTACAATAAAAAGACGCTGTTTAGTACTGCAGCTTTGTAACTTTTACTGTACCACTTTGTAACTATCAAAGAGAAACGATCCCTTCTTCCATGTACCCACCCCTGGAACAAATCATGCTGGGGCAAAAGCCGTTGGTTGCTAATAAAAGGGGAAATATAACTCTCTTTATGAATATAGTATATTTTTTCTGGGACCATCTGTCCTCTTTGGGATATTTATATATATTTACTATAATGACAATCTTACCTACTGCACATACATATTAAAAGTCTCTTAACAATCATACATTTGTAGCTATTCCCAATGGATCAGACCCTGTTTAGATACAGAGCATCTTCAGCTGCCATTGAAATCAATAGAGTTAACAGTGCTCAGCACATACACCAGTATACATCTAGATCAGTGATTCTCAAGCAGAGGTACGTGTACCCATTGGGGTACACAGAGGTCTTCCAAAGGCTATATCAACTCATCTAGATAATTTGCCTAGTTTTACAACAAGCTACATAAAAAGCACTAGCAAAACTGGTACAAACTAAAATTTCATACAGACAATGACTTGTTTATACTGCTCTATATACTACATACAATATTTATATTTCAATTGATTTATTTTATAATTATATGGTAAAAATGAGAACATATGCAATGTTTCAGTAATAGTGGGCTGTGACACTTTTTTGTATTTTTATGCCTGATTTTGTAAGCAAGTAGTTGTTAAGTGAGGTGAAACTTGGGGGTATGCAAGACAAATCAGACTCCTGAAAGGGGCACAGTAGTCTGGAAAGGTTGAGAACTACTGATCTAGATACTCCCCATCACTACAGTACCTAAGTGCCTTGCAAACTTTAGTTCATCTTCACAGCACCCCAGCGATCTAGAGAAATATTATCCCCACTTGAGAGAGGAGGAACAGAAGTACTGTACAGGGACATTAAGGGCCTGATTAGATGTAAGTAGTCCCATGACTTCAGTCTTCTCAGGCCAGGTCTACACTACACATTTACTTTGGTATAACTACATCACTCTGAGGTGTGAAACCTATGTCAGCTGGAGAGATTCTTACAGTAGGACAATAGAACCAATTGCATCAGGAAGTTGTGGAAGCTCCTTAGCTGGAGGTTTTCAAAAGGAGGCTGGATCTATCATAGAAGATTAGGGTTGGAAGGAACCTCAGGAGGTCATCTAGTCCAACCCCCTGCTCAAAGCAGGACCAACACCAACTAAATCATCCCAGCCAGGGCTTTGTCAGGCTGGGCCTTAAAAACCTCTAAGGATGGAGATTCCACCACCTCCCTAGGTAACCCATTCCAGTGCTTCACCTCCCTCCTAGTGAAATAGTGTTTCCTAATATCCAACCTAGACCTCCCCCACTGCAACTTGAGACCATTGCTCCTTGTTCTGTTGTCTGCCACCACTGAGAACAGCCAAGCTCCATCCTCTTTGAAACCCCCCTTCAGGTAGTTGAAGGCTGCTATCAAATCCCCCCTCACTCTTCTGCAGACTAAACAAGCCAAGTTCCCTCAGCCTCTCCTTGGAAGTCATGTGCCCCAGCCCCCTGATCATTTTCGTTGCCCTCCGCTGGACTCTCTCCAATTTGTCCACATCCTTTCTGTAGTGGGGGGCCCAAAACTGGACGCAATACTTCAGATATGGCCTCACCGTTGCCGAATAGAGGGGAATAATCACTTTCCTCGATCTGCTGGCAGTGCTCCTACTAATGCAGCCCAATATGCCATTAGCCTTCTTGGCAACAAGGACACACTGCTGACTCATATCCAGCTTCTCATCCACTGTAATCCCTAGGTTCTTTTCTGCAGAGCTGCTGCTTAGCCAGTTGGTCCCCAGCCTGTAGCAGTGCATGGGATTCTATTGTCCTAAGTGCAGGACTCTGCACTTGTCCTTGTTGAACCTCATCAGATTTCTTTTGGCCTGATCTGTCTTGGCTGGTTTAGACACAACAAATTCTGCATCTTGGCAGGGGGATAGACTACATGACTCTTGTGGTCCCTTCTCACCCTATGATTCTATGAAAGGGGGAAGGTTGGGAGAGATTCATGAAATCTCCATGCCTGGTGTAAGTACACAGGAGAGAGAAAGTCAGCTAAATGAAGATAAACCAGGAGATAATGGAACACCACTAGGCAACAGTATGGACAGCAAGGAGAAACAAAATACAAATATTGATTGGCATAGTAGGCAGGTAGGTGTTACACTTAGGGTATGTCTACACTGCAGGCTTCTTTTGGCAGCGTGTAGAGTACATACTTGGGTAGCGCCCCCCTCCCAGCACAAGTATAAACAGGACTGTAGAGAGTAAGGCATGGCATAGGAGGGTAAAGTCATGCCTGAAGGGTGTGGATATATACCTGAATACATGCCCTATATGGCTCTCTACTCACCCAAACCATGCCTTCCGTGGACACTGCTATTTGTAGTAGTGTAGTGTCCTGTTGCTGGAGCCTTTTCTCTCCTCAGGAAAAGACTCCAGCAGCAGGGAAAGGCTCTGGAAGGGGCAAGGCAGCAGGGAAAAGTTCCACCAGCTCCTCTGTTGCTGAAGCCTTTCCCTGATACAGGGAAAGACTGGCAGTGGGGAAAAGCTCTGGAAGGGGCGAGGCAGCGGGGAAAGGCTTAGCTTCCTTTGCCGTCTCCTCCCGTCTAAAGCCTTTCCTTGCCACAGTGAAAGGCTCCAGCAGCAGGGAGCTGCTGAAGCTTTTCTCCGCTGTCTCCCTCTTCCTGAGCCTTTCACTGACACACGTAGTTGCGCTCTACAGTGTGGACAGGGTATGCCTTTCAATGCGGCATGTAACTACATGCACACTACACGTCACCTCCAGTGGTGTGTAGTGTAGATGTAGCCCCATTGAAAAGACTTCATCCAGTCTGGCTAGAAAACTGGGTGAGATGCAAGAAAAACAACTGAAATGCTTGTACATGGATGCAAAGGGTCTGGACAATAAAATGGAGGAACTGGAACTACTGGTGCCATAGGTCAAACCAGATATAGGGATAACAGAAACGTTGTGGATTAGCTCTCATGACTGGAATCAGGGCCGGCTCCAGGGTTTTGGCCGCCCCTAGCGCCCCCCCCCCCCCAAAAAAAAGCCACGATCGCGATCTGCGGCGGCAATTCGGCGGATGGTTCCTCACTCCCGCTGGGAGTGAAGGACCTCCCACCGAATTGCCGCCGAATAGCTGGACCTGCCGCCCCTCTCCGGAGTGGCTGCCCCAAGCACCTGCTTGCCAAGCTGGTACCTGGAGCCGGCCCTGACTGGAATACAGGTATTGAAGGGTATGTGCTGTTTAGGAGAGATAGGAATAACAGTAAAGGTGGTGGGGTAGTGTAGTACATCAATGAAGCAGCAAACTGAAAAGAAATACAAAGGGATACTATGGGCAAGAGAGAATCTGTTTGAGTCAAAATAACTTTGCGGAAGGATTGTAAAAGAGGTTCTGTTGGGATAATGTTAGGGGTCTACTGTAGACCCCCAGGGTCAGTCTCGGATATGGATAGTGATCTCTTTGGTATTATTAGAAAAATAAATACTACCCGGAATTGTGTCATAATAGGAGACTAGCTTCCTGGATATCGATTGCAGAATAAATGTTACTAATACTGGTAGGCCCCCTTATTCCTGTATGTGATAGATGACAGTTTTCTTCCTCAAATTGTTTCTGAACCAACAAGAAGTGATGCAATTTTAGACTTGGCTTTTGTTAGCAGTGCAGACATCCTAGAAGAGCTGGTCATAGGAAATAACCTTGAGTTGAGCCATCACCAGCTGATTCAGTTTAAATTAAATGGGAGGATTATCAAAACCAGGTCATCAACTATGATTTTTTATTTCAAATGGGCAGATTTGGGGAAATTAAGGGAACTAGTTAAAGAAATGAGCTGGACTGCAGAGCTAAAGGACTTAAATGTGGAGGAGGCTTGGAATTTCTTCATATCAACAATACAAAATTATCTGAAATTTGCATCCCAAGAAAGGGGAAAAAACATGTAGAGAAAGGCTCCAGCCCCAGCTGAATGAATAACCATTTCAAAAAGATTATTAGGAGTAAGCAGAGAGCCTATAGGGACTGGAAAAAGGGGTTGATTAGCAAAGAAAGCTACATTATGGAGGTTAGAAAATGTAGAAATAAAGTGAGAATTGCTAAAAGTCTAGCTGAATTAGCTCTTGCCCAAGAAATTAAAATAAATAATGAGAGTTTTTTTAGTTATATAAAAAGAGAATAAGGAAAGATGAGGTTGGGCTGTTAGGCTGCATGGATGAGGAGGAGTTTAAAGATAATCCATGTATGGCCCAAAAAGTAAATGAATACTTTGTCTTGGTTTTCAGTAAGGATGATTATATGGACCGTGTGCATGAAGGCAGTATGGCTGATGGAAATGAGTGTCTAGAAATGGAAATTACCACATTTGAGGTGGAAGAAAATCTTAAAGAGCTTACTGGGCTGAAATCAGGGGGATTGTGTTGCCGGCACAGAGGCCCGAGGACAGCAACAGGGGGTTTGTTGCCCGGTGTGCTTCGCGACAATAAACACACTGGCGTGGAGAAGCAAACAAAGTTTATTTGGGATTCCAAAGCGGTGCTAGGAGACAGGCACGTCTCAGATCAAGCACACTATTATAAGCAGGTTTTTTTAATACATTTTTGCAGCTAAGCCTTACCCCCCCTTTCCCTTCCTTCCTCCCCCTCTACCCCTCCCTTTCCTGGTAACAGTTACTAAGCAAATAACAATTACATTTAAGCAGTTAAGTCATTTTTGGCAGCTATAAGCCTAGCTTGTTAGTAACTTCTTTAAACTGTTATCTTGTCCTTTTCCCCTTTGAACTGTTATTTTCCCTTCAGCCAGAAACATGCAGGCCTCATTATTACCGCTTGATACCGGTGTGAGCAGGGGGGTGCACACAGATAACTGGTTGCTTACATATTTCAATTGCACCT